CAAAACCCCAAAACCCCAAAACCCCAAAACCCCAAAACCCCAAAACCCCATGACTAAGAATATATTTAAGAGCGGATTCAATGAGAATATTTAAATGGAGGATCGAAAAAATAAAAATACCTCTACAAATACCAGTCCGAACCAGGATGAAAACGACTTCGATCCTGAGCAGACGACTGTCTCATATCTTGCCAAGCAAGCCTGAATATATTTTACTTCCTCAGCTGCACCACCAAGATCCCAAACAGTCAAGTAGGTGGGGTAGAGGCAGAAACTCATAGAAAAAGAATTTAATAAGGCAGAGCTGAATGAGTCCCCGGATCGATTGCTCTTCAGCTCAAAGGATAAGAAATTGCCTTAGAACTTTGCAGAAAGAGTGCTTGAATTGGAAATGGAACTTGAGAGTGACTGCTCAAGCATAGACTCAATCAATAACTTACTGTATCTCTACTCAGTAATTTTGATGAAGTTTGAATAACATTTTATAGCAAGCTGTAGAGTACTATAATGGTATGAATAATGATAGATATCAGCTATATGCCGATAGGATTCAAAATTTCTTATTAAGACCAGAAGTGTTAAAAGTGATGTAAACAGCTTCAACAGATCCAGAGGGATACAAGAAAGAATAAGAGGAAAAGAAACTTAAGAAATAGTAAGAGATTTAGTAAGCCAATTAGAATCAAGCAAGGAAAATCCAATAGGCTGAGATTGAACGTAAGAAAAAAGAAAGAGTTTTAAAATTGAACCAAAATATGGAAGACATATAAATGAGTAGCTCTGACGGTGGAGGTAGTCCTGAGGTTAAGTTATAGTAAATTATGGAAGACCAAGAAATCAAAATGGAAAAGGTACAACAAGAGATTAAGAAAGAGCTGAATCAATAGACAGAGAATTTTCAAAAACGATTGGCTGAACGAAGGAAGAAACTATAACAGTAGAGATCTATTAACAATTCTAGGACACAGGACTAAGAAGAAACAAAGAACGATACTTAGTAATCAAATCCTACTAGTAGTATGAATAATACAAGAATAGGACATAGGCCATCTACTATGAAAGGAGGCAATAAATAGAAATTTAACATTCCAAGTTTTGATGAGGACCTAATGAATAATGACATTTCAATGATAAAAGGTTCAACTAACTTTGAAAATACATAGTACATTGAAGAACCTAGTTTCTAAACTGACTTTCAATTGGTCAAGAAGCTTCAAGAGATGGAAATCGAGAAAAACCTATCAAGTAATGTTCATGGAGGCAATCATCAATTTGATACGATCTTTGGAAATTTAGATTAATTTGATTAAGATAATGGCTCTGGTTCTGATGATGATGACGATCACTCAATGCTATAAGAGTAATAGGAAGAATATCAAGAATCAATGTAACAGATCTGGAAAAACTGTGAAGAAATAATGGAGAAACTTCAAAGAGAAAAGTAAGAGAAGATTGAGCGAATCATTGAAGAAGTAACGCAGGAAAAGTTTGAAAAGATTGCTGAGGTTAAAGCAAATTATGATCTTATGATTAAGCGACTAGAGACAAGCAAGCAGAAGGAAAAAAGTGAAGCCAAGAAAAAGGAGAAGGAACATGAAATCAAAACTATTTAGGAGTAAATGGAAGTTATCAAAAAGCAAAAGATTCAAGAAGTCAACAAAGATTACGAGGACCAGAAGAAGTCACTAATGGGAAATAAAGATTCACAGATTTAATAAGAAAGCAAGAAATTGACATAAAACAGTTAGAATAGAGTTCTTAATAGCAGCAAAATTTCAAAGCAAAGTGGGACTGTTACTTGCACTCCTAAAAATGGCAAAACTTTGGAGAAGTTCTCTCCATTAAAACCATTTAGGATGCTTAACGATTCAAGCTCTAAACCAATAAAGCTGCTAGATTTACCAATTCCCCTAAAGTCTCAGAAGTCATCTCCAAAGTCAAACCTTCTGATTATGAATGATATCGAAAATAAAATACTATCAGAAAAGGAGGCGGAAAATGACTTAGAGCGCATTGATGTAGTTAATCCATTAATCAATAAATCTCATCAAAAAAATAAGTCCTAAGATAAAGTTATCTAGTAGCAGTTGCCAGTGGAATAGAAAGATTAACCTAGTCAATAATCTAAAACATATAAATAGCCATTTGTGAAGGATAAATCTTCTAATCTTTAAATAGCGACTGCTCATCGATAGAGAATACAACTCTAGCTAGATATCGATGACGACTGACTATATCATAAATAATTTAAGCAAATCTGATAAATGCAAACGGTACCCTTAAATGTTGTCAAATGTTAATAATTTAGAATCTTACAGCATTGTTAAATGTTTACAATAGTTTCACTTGAGGGGTTTTGGGGTTTTGGGGTTTTGGGGTTTTGGGG